TGTTTTAAGCATTAAGATTTGATTACCTTTCTTTGTCTGTTTTGGTTCTATTTCTGATTTTTCAGGCTTCTTAGGCTGGGAGGTGGGAACAGAACGCTTCACAGCACTATGGAGAAGTAACAATAGCAACAATCACAACTTGCAAGAAGCAGGGGAACAGCAATTTAAGATACCAAGAACAGTAGTGGTGATGATGTTTCCTACCGTTTCCTTGCTCTGCTTCCAAGTCTTTTAGACGCACTATCACCTAAAAAAGGGAACACATTTTCAAATTATATTAGTGATTATTTTATTTAAAACAACTGTCTCACATCTCACACTGAAGTGACTCTGACATAATAATACTAATACTGGTAGAGTAATATGTTAACAATTGAGCCAGTTCACAGTCCAGTCAGTCCAGTCCAGCCTGGAGAGTCTCAGACTGCTCTGTCAGTGTCAGTGTGAGTCTGATTATAATCCCAGTAAAGAACTCATCCAGCTCCCAGTCCAGTCAGTCCAGTCCAGCCTGCTCTGTCAGTGGGAGTCTAAGCAGGTGGAGCTCATGTTAGTCCACCCAGTACATCACAGTCATAATGATCAGGATGGCTGCTTACCCTCCAGCAAGAAGTTGGGAATCTCTGTCTCTGCACCCTTCTGCTTTCTGGCCTTTCGTCCTGGCCCTCGCTTCTGCTTATTGGTGGGATCTAACTTCCGCCCCATGACTGACCTCTAAATTAACCAATCACAGCCTATACAAACGAAAATAAAATGAATTTAGACATATGATCTCGAACGTAACATGACAGATCCTGCAAAGCAAAACTTCGAATACTGGAAATCCTACAGATTCGCATGGCTTGATATTTCTTACAAATAAAATCCGTCTGGTTAAGAAAAAGAAAACACTGTTTAACAGATGTAGTTCAGAGAGAAATAACTAGAACGTCTACAAACCTGCAATCTACAAGAAAAAGCAAAGCGATATCAGATGTCTAAATCAATTATTAAAATGCCAACAACATTTCACATTTGATAGGTTGCAGGCTACTGTGATGAAACCGCTGCACGATAGGAATCTGGTTTACCTCTATCACAATTTCACGGGGTACTAGTACTTCAGCTTCTAGTAACAGTACTTCGTTTTAATTTTAGTTGCTGACTAAAAGCGAACACATTTCCATAGCGTTTTTAAAGAAATCCTCCTCCGATCACTAATCAATCTACAGGCCACTAAGTTAAATTTGATCGGGGCAGGGTTTTTTTTTATTACCTTACCTTTTCTATGTCTTAACACTTCTTCTTTACTACTATCGTTTCACTTAATGTTTTAACGAGGATACGGCGGTAGTAAATAAACATCTCAATAGTTCGATTTCGTATTGAAGTTTTACAAGAATCCGTTTACAATCGTAACAGGACTTTAACCGCACAGTCAAGATTTCTCTCCCCCCACCCTCCTGTGTCCCTCGATTTTTTATATCTTTAAGTAAAATGAAAACTCACTGGTTTGTAAAAGGCGAATCATCCAGCTCTAAAGTATTAAAAGTCCGGGCACATGCAGCCGTAGTAGCACGAACGAAAACGAGAAATGTGCGCAAAGACTGGCACGTGTTTCCGTCGCTTAGCAGAGAGAGCTATTTCCGTCGCATCCTTTATGACATCACGCAGAGCGCTTACCAAAACACACGCCGGTATAGAGCGGGTCTCCGTGACGTATTAAGAGCCTTTTTTTAACCTCTCGCGCTCCAAAGGCCGGCCATTAATAAGCTGAAGTGGTTTGTAAGAGCTCAAACTAACAGTTTTGGCAAGAGACGAGGCGGGTATTAATAGGCAAAGGTTTTGAAGGCAGCACGTTTTTCAAATACATTAATACGAAAAATATTTCATGCATTAGATTAAAAGACGTACGTAGATACTCTCACTAACTTGGGGGGTTATAACTTGCTGCTGCTTTGTTCAACAACGTTAATCAGAAGATTGAACTGAACACAAAAGTATAAATTCAGTCATTAAGTTATTTTAACAGAACTGAGACCGCCGGCACGTACGAACTTTCTTTATTTGGATGATCCTGGATTGTACTATCTGTGCACACTCAATTAAAAGTGGGAAAAGATCTGTTAGAGTTACAATTTAGGGTTCTGAAACAAAAAAAAAACATTAAGACAAACATATTTACAAAGGTTCGCTGTAGCAAGCTGTTGTAAACCACAGAACTCTTGTACCTGAAACTAAGAATTAACCTAAAGAAATAAATTCCGGTCAGCAGGGTGGAGTGAATCCAAGACACTGAACATATCGGGAAACTAACAATAATAATTAATAATAATCATTTTAAAGAAAAACCCAATGAAAAAAATAAAGACCTAGAGTGTACATGTACATAGAGGTAAAATGCTTCTATAAACAGTAAGAAATAGGTCTTTATTTAGTCTGGATTTGTCTCTCATGCATTATGAAAGTTATATTATGTGG